GCACGAGCAATTGTGAAGAAGTTCTCATAGTAATGTATACAGGTGGTATGATGGGAGCAGAAGGAATGACAGTCTCGGGAGAGACCGCATGGAAAGAAATACGCAAGCTTATCGATCAAGGATTCATACCCCTAATAGGGGAGCACGGTCAGTCAATTTAGTGGAAGATTACATGAAAACCAGATCATGGAGGAAAACATTCGAATTAGAATAATATTCAGCGCGATTTAATTAACAGGATTACTAGCATTGGAGAACATCTAAAGTTTCCGGGCTTGTGAACATCTAAAGTTTCCGGACTTGTAACAGGTTTTTATAAACAGTTCATCTAGATGGTATGCAATCAGGAGAACCACTGGATATTTCGGGAGAAACTACATCCTGCACATGTAAATATTCTGGGCGACGACCAGGGACAGCGAAAACCTCAAGAAAAAATTCTACAGGTACAAAATTCAGATGACTTTATAACTACACGCCTTAAGTTTTGATTCTTCATTTTGTTATGACGAAGGGCAAGATGTTTAGTGGATGAAGGGTGCAACTTACCATGCTCATATTTCGGAATTGTGAAAATTTGTCATTTACAGGAAAATCCATACCCGTCGGAGGTGTTGCAACAATGACAGGGCCAGGTAAAGTTGTAAAAAGTTTCTCATGTAAATGAATCAATCAGAATGGAAGACGTAAACGACAATATCTTATGTAGCTACCATTTATTTGATTCTTGAAAAACGCTTTGATGCCATCCGTTCCAGTGATAACGTGATGACCAAATTATAAACTACATTTAGTAAAATATGTTTCCATTTCAGCGCATCAATGGGGATATTGAGGCCAACGTAAACTAAGCTGCAGTCCACGAAGACAGTCAGATGTTGTCTTTTTGACTTCAACTTTGTAACGTTCTCAATAAAGCTCTTCAATGCTTTCATGATCTAATGCCATCCTACAAATAGCGAGCACGAAGCTTGTTTTGGAGCAAAAAAGCATTGCCAAGAACACAAATCTGCGATAGGCTTTTCCTGGTACTGGACACATTCAAGTGATATATGCACATGTGGTTAACTACAATTTTGTGTGCCTCCCAAATAACGTATGTTCACGCACCCATTGTGGGAGCCTGTACAAGAGGTGCCGTTGCCCATGTTGAAATTGGGTCACCGAGAGCGACAACTGTAGGGGGACAAGGCTAACCTAGTGATCATTGCAGTTTTGAAAATAACTTGTTAATTGGCAACTGTAGAGGATTCACCTTCAGTACACGCACTCCTTTTTGTTTACCATGGGTTCACGCTCGTTCCACTCAGCAAAATTCACTGGACTTTTACAGAAGGTTGACTATTGACGACCCCTTCTTCATATGGAATTGAACAAAGTGAAAGCTCAAGCACAAACACAAAAAAGGAACTTAAGTGATAGAACTCACTAGTCACTATTCCTATTCTGCAGGTTGGTCCCTAGGTCAACTCAGTGATTGGGATGCATCCATATTCAGAATCATGAAGAATCCTACCCACAGTGTGCCATATGTATGATGGGCGGTTTGATCTGAAGCTTCAGCATCAGTTCTTTCCAAGAATCAACTAAAAAAAGGAAATCAGCCTAAATTCATCTTGAATCACCATGCAATCCATCCTTGCGATGCTTACCTGGTCTTCTATGATGGTCGTCACTTCTAATCATTTCATGGGCATTTGGGAAAAAAGAAGGAAGCTAGCAGAATGAAACGCTACAAATGCCATGAATGAGCACAAAATGAAAGAAGCTAATTGAGCGATCCTGCAAACGTCAAGCAATCGTGAGAAGTGTGAGGAAGTATTCTGTAGAGGTGGGTGAGAGGATACTGCAACGCATTTGCACTGACTTAGGCCACCTAGGACTAGTACCGATTTCTGATTACTGCCTGTAAGCCTGACTGAGAGAAAGAAACATTGTCCATCTGTCAAATATGGGTGATATTGAGGTGCAGATCCTTTCCAGTGGGATCAACCACCCAAATTCGTGAAACTGAGTGAAACAGTGTTTCCAAAGTGAAAAAAGGCTTCGAAAAATCGTTGAAAAGGGGGATGGATGAGAATGAGACAGAAGAATGGGGTGTTTCGACATCCTATACAATGTAGGTCATTACGGTGTGGGTCCTAGTGCAAATAACTGACTACGGTAAGCAAAAATTCATTCAATTGTAAGCATGAGTAAACAAAAAACCCTAGTAACAGCAAAAGTAGCTCACCTTTTCCAGTCTCATGAGGTCAAAAATCAGTAGAAGGATCGCAGCAGCGAAAAGAAGAACAGAAAATGAAAGATTGGGACTGAAATGTAGCCTAATCACTTAATCGATTAGTTTACCCCGAAACTCAAGCGATACACCTCCGAGACTCTGAAGTCACTCATCACACGAGAGGGAAGAGATTCCCCTACGGATAGCAACGATAAGTGAAACTTTTAACGAGAGCAGTAGTTAAAGAGCAAGATAAGTCGGTTAAAGTGATTGATTCCATTAAAACCATATTATGTATGGAAGACAATTGAATTGGCTATTTAACTTTAACAGATTGATAGAATCTCTAGCATTGGTAGAAATCTTAGGATTCCAGACCGTAAACGTATTTTATAAATAGTGCATCCAGGTGGCATGCAAGGAGTATAACCGAGGGAATCTCTGCGGAAGAGCGTACACCGTGCCCATGCAAATCTTCTAACCAACAGTCAAGGACAGGTAAACTTCAGGAGAAGATATTTACAAGTACTATACCGTTCGGGTGACTTCTTAACTACAGCATATTGAGTTTTAGACGTTTCGTTATGGCGTGATCAGTAATGAATGTTCGGTGGGTGAAGAGTTCAACTGAGCACTTTCAAATTTCAGTCGTGAGAAAGTTTCATTTACAGGGCAACAATCTATACCCGTCGGAGGGCCAAGAGCTTTATTATGGCCCGGTGAAGTTGTGAAATAAGTTCATTCCAACCGAACGAACAAAATAAAGGAATCTAACGACTATATCTAATGTAGCTATAACAAATTTACAGCATAATGTTCTGATGCCATCCATCTTATGTTAGTGAGAATGTGATGACCAAGTTACAAGCTGAAGTATATTACCATTTCAGAGATATGTATCTCATCCGTGGGGATATTGAAGGACCAGGCTGAATCAGTCCGAATTCAATGAAATTTTTCAAGAATGTAATCTTTTGGCTTTCCCTTATATCTTTGTGACGTCCTGAATAAAGTTTTGCAAGGCTTTTATGTTTGAAAGCCATTCTGCTCATAGCAAACACGAAGCTTAGTACTTCGGGATAAAAAAAAAACACATTTTCAAGGATAGAGAACAGAAACGAAGCGATAGACATTCCTTGTACTGAACAGATTCGAGTGATATACATATGAATGACTACAATTTTGATTCCTAACCTGAGTAACGTACGATTACACACCCATGGCGGAAGCCTGGCCAGGAGATGCCGTTGCACTATTGCTAAAATCAAATCACCATGAGTAGCAACTGTAGGTGAGCTAGGCTAACATCAGTGAACATTACAAATTCGAGAATAATTTGCTGATCGCTATCGGTAGGGTGCCTTAATTCAGTACCCGTGCCTCCTTCTTTTTCGTCATGTTTCATGCTTTCAGAAAAAATATCATTAAGCATATATTTGGCTCAATCTAGACGTCGTGTTGCTAAAAAGCTGTTAAACTACAATACAGTGTATTAGTGTTTTTCAAGACTGTCTGCCAAACTAGAGAATTTCTACATCTATTGCTGTCAGATTTCGGGCAACTCAAAATCACCATTCACGATAATTCAATGGGCGGAGACGGCTACGGCATTCCCGCCTCTCCATCGATGTCACGTCAGACGTCAGAGACGAGTTTCGAGACAATACAGATTGCAAATTTTCGTTCTAAGACCCACACACAATCAGCTGTCGCCGAGTGATGCGACGATGTTTTTCTCCCATTCTTTGACCTCTGCTATTTTTCTTGCTGCCGCGATCCCTTATACAATTTCCTATCCCAAGAGGCTGAAAAAGATGAGCTACTTCTGCATTTACTAGGGTTTTTTGTTTACTTATGCTTATAAGTGAATGAATTTTCGCTTACCATTGTCTTGTATTCGCACCGGGACCTACACGTACACAGTGAGACACTTTATAATCGCTCGTCCAAACGCCCCACTCTTTTCCATTTTTCTGAACTCATTCTCGTCCAGCCCCCTGTTTAACGATTTTCGAAGCCTTTTTTCAGTTTGGAAACACCGATTCACGCAGCTTCTCCACCTTCATCGCACTATATTCGATCTTGTCGTCCATTTTTCATCATAAACTGGACTACCCAAAATTATCGTGAACTGTACCTCCAACTGGTTTTGTTTGTACGGAAATTATGTGAGAGTTTTCGGTGTTTTATTGATATTTTTTCCACTTATCACTTTTACACACGTGATAAATCTAAATCTAAAACTAAACAAAATTAAGTTTGAACTTTTACAGATGGCTGACCATGTACAGCCTCTTCTTTCCATGGAATTGAACAAAGCGAAGGCTCAAGTACATGCGCAAAATGGGAATTCCGCTGTGGGATTTACCAGCCACTATTCTGCAGTTTAGTTCCTAGGTCAACTCGGTGACTCGGATGCTTCCACGTCCAGAATCACGGAGAATCGCGTTTACAGTGTAATGGCCTGCAAAACAAGCTCATCTTTGGCTTTGGCATCAGTTCCTTCAGCATTTACAACAGTGGTTAATGGACCCGTAGAAGGCATAGTTGGCAGATGGGTATTGAAGTGAGGTTCAGTCCAAGACTGCAAGGCTCCTATCCTACCCTTCCATTATCTCAATTTTACATTCCAGGTCAACAGAAATTATCAGAAAATAGGTGGACATGATCGATTTTTGGTTTTTGGTTATATAGGACATAATAGGATCAGAAAAATCTATTCGAAACATCACAAGCAAAACCAAAAGTCATTTGGCAAGATTGGTCGCAGCGGACAGTATTACTTGACAATCTTCTTCACGATTTCCATTTCAATCCGTCTGAGACCATCCGCGATTTGTCGTATTTCTTCCTGAAATGTAGGTGTTGAGAGATTCTTTTCCAATGATTTACGAACCCATAACATTTCTCGATTTACGGTTATTCTATGTGCCTTCTTGGAGCCTACAATACGGTTGTGTGTGCTCATTACATCTACAATACTGTCATTTCAAGAAGAGTACCTTTCAGCACTCCTCCTGGACGTATGACCGGTCCTGGTCCACCAATAGATGCAGGGTTCTCTGTAACAACACACAAACTCAATAAATTTGGAGTTCGTAGTCTATTCCAAGTGGCCTACCTTCTGGGTGACTTACTGGAGGAGCCGTAGGGCCGATTCCATCAGAAGGTTCAGGTAGCCCTAGCACAGTAGCGGCAATCGTCAACAGGACGACAACGGAATTCATTCTGAAGTGACCCTCACTACAATGACTTTTACAGTAGTAACATTTAAAACGACGAACAGACTGTGTTGGTCCGCTCACACCTCCTTTCCAGGTGAAGGTAAGCTCTATGTCTGTGGAAGACTATATGAAAGTTTCTTAGGAAGAGGATAGCATCTCTGGAACCAGTGGTGCAAACGATGCTTTCAGTTCTTGAGCTATTCCGGAGTAGGCCATACGTTCTGTCTTGGAGCGTGCGTGCTACACATAGCAATGCGTGCTATCTTGCACGCCAGGTTTCGGTACTGTTAGTTGGGAGCGCAGTTTCGGCTAAATATAGCTCAGAACGAGTTTCCACAGCAGAAAAAAACAAAACAGGAGCAGCTCTCATGGCATTTGCCATTTGCAGCCATAGCTTACCGCACACCGTAGATTTGCTCGTGTACCGAGTAATACAAGCCCTGAAGGCCGTGTGAGAGGAAGATGCTACGGCATGGTGTCCAGGGTGCATTTAGGGCAGGAAGAACACGCCTCGCAGTATACGTAGGCTTACGATCGAATTCCGGTGAACAGTACCCTAGGCCAATTGAGTCTTTCATCTCTTCGAAGTCGATTATATGGTACCGGACTCGTCTAGAAGCTGAGAGCATGGACTTCTTCACCGATGGGTCATCGTAGGTCGATGTATATGTCATCTATGCATTCAAATGCCACCCACGATTCTGAATGGGATTCGTATGACGGGCGCAAAGGTCTGGAGGAGGTAGGAGGGGCGATCAAAAACCAAGAAAACCAAAAAGTTCTCATGTGATGTTTCAAAAGTTATCCGGGGTGGGAACGATTACAAAAAAAAGGAATTTACGAAGGTATAGTGCTTTCTACTCTGTCAACACTATTCTATAAGTAAGAATAGTGTTGACAGAGTAGAAAAAAAGATATCAAATAAGCTTCAACGGTACAACAACCTATTTCGAAGAGGCGTAACTTGACAATGTAACAAAAACGTACCACGGTCAGGGCTAGTAAATGTCAGTTGATAATGTCTATACGCTCTAATGACTCCGTAGGCTACAAATATGAAGTACAAATGAGTTTTTTTGAAAAAGAAAACCTAATAGGGCTGCGTAAAAACTAAATGCGCTCGAGCGTAGTGCACTTCAAAAGTGTTCTTCTATCATCTATGAAGGGAACACCACTCAGGGACTCATGATGCCCATGATTTCACAGCGATATCGAGGTTACCCAATATATGTAGGGACTATTTTCCTCTCCTCCTCACTGGCGGTATTTCAGCATATCGGATTTTCAAGTGTCCTAGCTCATCATCTCCTCTCCGGCCCCCTCCTCTCGGTTTCTAACCTGCAGGAACCATTTGCTGTGCACGTGGACTCCAACTTCTTT